ACACACACACACACTCTGGACATGGGAGATCATTCAGCCTGATTATTTTGGGGGATTTTTGCTTGGGAAATAATAAGATATGTTGCTGTTATAATCTGTTAACGAAAGGTCGACTTCATTTGACACAACGATTTTGAAAATTAAATAACTTCAAAGACGCTGCAAAAAAATAGGTAAAAAAGTGAGAGAAAAGTTTTGCGTGACATATCCTAATTCTTAAGTCAATGTGTAACCGTTAATATTTTGTAAATTAAGTGCACTACAACTCCTTGTATACTGATTGTTATTTTCGTATTCAAACAACATCAAGATTTTACCTATAACATGATGTCACAAGATAACGACTCATTTGAGAATACCATGTTTCAAAATCCTTGATTGCTAGTTTTAACTTTTTTTGGGTTTTGTACCATATTAGGTCTTGAATTTTTATCTTAAATAGTCCGCATTGTAAATGGAATAACTAAAATCCTTATATATCAGTTATCATTTTCATATATAAACAATGTCCTATATTAACTTTAACATTATGCTCCTGTTTGATACCGTTAAAAAATCTAATTAAAATTTAAGTCAAAGTCAATAACTAATTTTTATTAACATATTTCATAGGACCCACAAATTTTCAACTATACTTTCCATCAATTTTTATCAAAATCTACTAAAAATCTAATTTTAATATCTACCGATCAGATATAAAATCCAAATTGCTCTACCATCACAACTAAATATGATGGTCGCGGAACTCGAACAAATTATTTCTTCCAAAAGTAACAAATATACCATCCGGCGAATTATTATCTACAACTGAAACATTTTCCGAATTTATATGCTGCAGAATTAGTTGGTGACCTAATATTGAGAAAATTTGAGGAGAAAAAGTAGTGATAACTAGTTTTCTGGTGGATGAAGCTGTCATGGGAATCTTATGAGCCAGTGGTATGAAAAGAAGCAATTGACCCCAGAGCTACCAATCAGCAAAAATAAGCAGCTTTTTATAAAGAAATAAGTTATAGCTTTTAATTCTTCCCACGTGTCTTAATAAGCATGGTGTTTTGCTCTGGGAAAAGAAAGGGCACAAACATTTGTAGTTGATCATATAGTTTTCTTCTTTAACAGTTCTAAATCGAGATTTTTCACGGGCTTCTTGATCAAAGTGTTGAGCAACCCTAAAAAATGGCTGGCCCTAATTATATGTACACGATGATTTTCTGGAGGACAAGCCGACTAACAAGTGGCAAAATTTCATGTAGTTGAGGAACTCGTGGAGGACATCATTGGACGAAGAGGAAATCGGCACGTAAGGCTGCCAGTTTATTAATAATAAAAAGTATTGTTAAAAATGAGTTTCAGGAAAATTTTTGCTCAAACATAGGTGTAATATGAACTAAATTAAGTGACTAATTAACTTGTGTAAAGTATCAATCGCCAAATCATCTGTTACAAAGTAAATGTGCCTTCGCTATTATGCTAGGTTAAAGGGTGAAATATGATAAATTAATTGTACGTTTGATTACGAGTATATGAACAGAAAATAAGTTCTAGGCAATTCATATGGAAATTATTAATAAATGTGTTTGATTAATTTAGTTTTTAATCTAAAAAATATTATACTTATCCAATTTTTATTGGTGAGTGGAAGAGATAGAAGGGATAGATGAGAGACAAAAAAAGAGAGTAAATTACCTGAAAAATAAAAATCATCCCTTCATAAAGAAAATGTTTTCATTGTTTTTTAAGAAAATATGGTCACATGATCAAATATCGAAAACTATTTTTGAATTGAAAAATTGTCAATGAAACACTAAAAACTAGAAATTTGAGTGAAAAAATGACATTTTTCAGAAAAATAAAGTGAATCTAACACACTCTAATTAATGTGGGATACGGAGAATAAACCTAAAATAGTATAATAATGATTTATGACATAAGATAATCGAAGTTGTACAAGATTTATTTCGTGAAAGTTGCTACTTAATCATACTCTAAACAATTCATTGGTTTCGTTAATTACATGGACTGGTGCCTAATCTCTCTGACATATATATTTAGTACATCTAAATTTAAGATTTTATAAGAATGATATTACAATGTTCTACTTGAAACTCAT